AGCATTTCTCCGCTCATGTACTGGATGTTTATCTTTTCCGTTCTGATCTTAGCCTGTCTCCATGCATCGCCATGCTAGGATTTCCCGGCTCTTATGAAAGGCTCTTATGTAGTAAGCATTGGTTATCTGACAATTTATTACAAACACCTCTCCCTCATTTTCAGTTTATTTCTATTTTAATTGGCATTTTTTGATGCTTTATAACATTTACTTTATTGTAGTCGAGGCTCTTTGATTTTCCTCTGGGCTCATGCTCACAGTTTTTGTGTTAGGTAAATATCTCTGAGATTCAATTTGCAATACTGACAGCCTGAGGCGCTTTCTTTTTATACTTCTTGTTATTTGATAGAGAAGCGACTGCTGAACTAATCACTTGCAACTGTTATGACAGGAGAGAGAGAACGCGCAAGGATGAGAAGATAGGAAAATACCTCTCAGGGCTGTTATTAATCACTGTCAATATTTTGTAATAAAGCATTGTCTAATATCTGTTTTTATAATTTGATTTATTTTAAATAGTCCTTCACCCATATATTTTTACTAAATTATCATCACAGTATATTATTTTATGTATAACTGCAGTTGTGTGCGTTTATACATGATATTTGTGTTTCATTTTAATGAAATTCAACAAAAATATGAGACAATGTTTCTCATATTTAAGAAATATATGAAAGAATAATAATCTAATTTAAAATAATAACATGGTTTGGCATTTGACTCAGTTTAATTTAGTATTTAGGGCTATAGGTCTCATATAACTCTTATTTTCAGTGTACATATAAAATTTCAAATATGTGCATGTGGTGTGGTGTGTATGTGTAGGGTGTGTACGTGCATGGTATGTGTGTGGTGTGTGGTATGTTGTGGTGTGTGTATGGTGTGTGTGTTTGTGTATATGTGGTGTGTGTATGTGCATGGTATGTGTGTGGTATGTATGGTGTTTGTGTTGTGTGTGTGTTTGTGAGTGTGTGGTATGTGTGTATATGGTGTGTGTGGTGTGTGTTTGTGTATGTGTTGTGTTGTGTTATGTGTGCATATGTGGTGTGGTGTGTATGCATGGTATATGTGTGGTGTGTGTGTGCTTGTGTGTGTATGTATGGTGTGTGTGTGGTGTGTGTGTTTGTGTGTGTGTGGTGTATGTATGTGTGTGGTATGTGTGTATATGGTGTGTGTGTTTGTGTGTGTGTGCATGGAGGTCAGAGGCTGACACTGAGCCTCTTCCCTACTTGTTCTCCACCTTAGCTTTTGGCCAAGTTTCTCACTGAACCTGGGGTTGCAGATTTCGTCACACAGGCTGGCCAGCAGTCTCCAGAGGTCTTTCTGTGTCCACCTCTCCAGCACTATGATTACAGGTATGCAAGGCTCTCCCCGGCGTCTTTATATGGTGATGCTGGAGATGCACGCTTGGTTGTCAGGCTTGTAAAACACACGCTTTCCTGACGGAGCCATCTCCCCAGCCTCACAGAACTCTTTTAAGAACTCATGCCAAATTTTCAGTTATTCTTATGGCCACTTGATAAATATTTATTGTCAAGTTCTTTGCTGAATGTGAAGAATCAAACAAAAGAAATTTCACAAGCTAGTAGGGCATCACTTCTAACTTTTTCTTTTATAACCAATAATATAATTAATATGGTTTTCATAAAAATTTCCCATTTTGTATTGGACAAATACCTTTGGGAGAAGAGACAAATAACACTCAAAATGTTTGAAAAAAGCCCAGTGGAAACATGCATAGACATTGTTGTCAGTTAGAACTGTCCCAGATACCCCCAACCAACATAGGCTATCGCAATTGTCTTGGTTGTCCAACAGAACTTGACAGTAAGCCCTACACGCACTGGTCACAGGACACAGAGAAATCAAACTGGTACTGGCCAGGAAGTTTCCTCCTGACTGGTTAGTTTTCAGTGTAGGAATGCTTTATGCAGGCAGCTGGAGGAAGCCAAGGTCACCAACTGTCTTTCTCATACGCTGGGAATGCTGGGAAGTGCAATAAGGGCTGGTATGGTGGCAAGATGGGCCCATGCGTGCAATAGTGGTGATGTGCATGCTGGGAGCAGGGGGGGGATGACCAACTGCTTTAGGATTGCATTTAAGGCCAGTGCTTAGGTAGAAACACATGTGAGATCATGTGAGATACTGTAAATCTGGTTTGAGAGCTCACAGGCTCTCAAAATTATTACTATGATTTCACTAAATGGACAAGTCAAACTGCCTTCTAAATTAATCTCTATACATATAGATCACCACATTCTTAGACATCATCAGAGATGTCTTTGTGCGCTGCATGACAGCTAATGCAGGCACTCACAGCTGGTCAAAGGGCAGAGATTAACTGTCAGTGGAGTGACCAGGCACAAATGGACATCTGTATCTCTCCCTCAGGGACTGTCATGGGAGAGGAGACAGAAAGATTGGAAGAGTCAGAGACTGGGGAGGACCAGAGTACCAGAGTGTCTTCAGGACATGACCGGTCCACTGTATGAACTCACATGTGGCTGCCTACACAGAAGCTGCATAAGAACAAACCAACCAGTGTTCAAGCCTGGAGTGGGAAGGGACTCACGAACTCCCATCCCTAACTGGAAAACTATGGACAGCTGAAGGTTTCTGAGGAAAGGGGTGCCAGTTTTCTCTAGCAGTGTGGCTCCTAGGCCAACCACACCCCAGTGAATGGCCCCATACCCTGCAGTATGTGGGCATCACAAATTGGAGACTTATGGTTCAGGAAATACATGAAGTTGAGGATATGGGGATGTGGGGTGGATCTGGGAGGAGTTGGGGAAGTGTGGGGGTCTAATATAATCAAAATACACTGCTGGAAATTCTCAAAAAATTAAAAAAATTAAAATGAAGTCCAACCATGCCACACTTTCGCTTAAAGCTTCTAGTGACTTCTAATTGCACTTGGAGGAGAATGGACAATTTTTTATCATGAATGCACCGGCCCTGTCTCATGGTAAACTGCTGAGCCCTGTGCCGTTCTTACATATACTTCTTGTCTACTCCTCTATTGTAATTCTGACTCCCTGTCAGGTCTCTTGTATTCTCCCCTAGAACACTGCCCCAAGGAATCGCTTTGCTCACCATTTACCTTCCTTCATATTCAAGCTCAAAGAATACCTCTTTGTAGAAATCTTCTTTGATCTCAAGTACTGGCCCCTGGCTCCCAAGTACCATTTTCTATTTAGTTCATTCCTACACTTTACCACAATCTGTGGTTATAGTAGTATTTATTTGTTGTATACTTGGCCACTGACTCTCCACCTCTTCTGGAATACAGGCTCCTAGAACATAGCAGATGATGAGTGGAATGAGTGAGCGAAGAAGGCCATCTCGATAGGGACGCATGGGGAAGGAGTCTATTGGTCAATGCTCACAAGTTGTGCTGAAGGAGAAGCAGAGGTCAACAAGGCAGAGTAAGAAAGATGCTGTACACTGTATCTGGATGTGCGAGCGCTCATGTTTCTTGGGTGAGTTGCATGAGTTTAGTGTATTGGGGATGGTCATCACACAGAAGATGGAATCCATGTGAGGTTGTGCTAACCTTAGATAGTAAAGATTAACTGAGAATCAGACATGCTCAGAGAGTCAAATACACCCAGGATGAGGGAAACTTGGTTTCTGGTTGCCAGGGAACAGAATCACAAATATGGGAATAAATTCTGCAGTGTTTAGGTCAAAACTGCATTATCCCATATGAATTCATAGTTTTCAAGACATTAAGAAGATGTATATATATATATGTGTGTGTATATATATATAAACAGATGTGTTCATGTGTATATATCTTCATAACTACCTCCATATGCATGCATAGACATACTGTGAAACTATAAATATTCTCTATCTTTGTCTAGTAAGCAGCCTGGTGGGAATAACGGAATAGCACATGATAGGAACTAAAGGCCTCACTCAATCTTGGTGTTCACCATTTTACACTAGAAGGAAATAAAGGTGATTGGGAAAATGGGTGAGTCCCATATCTGTGACTAGAAAAGTATATACAAGTCTTAAAAGTAAGTTAGGGCTCCAATAATGATAAAGGTATGTGAAAAGTACACAAGGGGACTTGCTTTGACAAAGTCCTAAAGAATTTAAGTGCTAAAATAATGATAGTGGTAGATTATAACTAACTGGACAATATAGAAAACCTATGGCTCCCTGTATATAAAAATATTTTTTAAAGAATTGTATTCCTTTAAAATGTAATATTAGCATAATTTTAAAATATCTTTTCATAAAAACTTTTAAATTTCAGAAGTAAATGAGTAACTAACTTCACAGTGGAGAAAACCTGAAGATAACACTGTAATTACATGATTATGGTGATGTCATAATGACTAAGACAAATCAATGTTCAAGTCACACCTGATAGGATTCAATAAAGAAGCCAGAGAGGACTCTTCTTCTGATAAAGATTCATATCCTGGGTTTAAGAACAAAATACCAGGTAAATTTAAACCAAGAGCCATTCTATCAAATTGCTGGCTCATTATCTTGAAGCATGTAAGGGTTACAGAAGTCAAGATAAGACTTAGCATTTGAATGGAGTCTTAAGATTAAACGTTAATAATATGCCAAAGGTAATGATCTGGTTTTGATGACATGCTTTCTGTTGACAGATAAACACCCCATTTATAGGGAGTAATTCACGACTTGTAGCTGATGAGGCATTGGGTCTGTAACAATTTGCAAATAATTCTGGGAGAAAGAGCCTTTGTATTATAGCTCCAACTTTGTTATAACTTTGCAAATATTTTAAAATATAAAACAGCAATAACAATCATAGCACAAACAGTACTGCATGGAAAATATAGAATATAAATCCAGAGAGGGAGAGCGAGGGAGCCATTAGGGGAGCTATTTCAGCAATAAAGTCAAAAGCCCTCAGATGGGCAGGGAGTGTAGAGGAGGGAGGTTTTGAGTCATACTGAGGGAGTAAAACTGACAGGCTTCGGTGACTAATTAGATAAATGGAGGGGAGGAATGGGAGAGTGATGTGGGAGTGATTTCTTATTAATAAAGAAACTGCCTAGGCCCCTTGATAAGGCCCACCCTTAGGTGGGTGGAGAAAACAGGAGAATTCTGGGAGAAGGAGTCTTGGTGGAGAGTCGCCATGATGCTCCCACTCCAGACAGATGCAGGTTAAGATCCTCTCTGGTAAGCCAGCTCGTGGGCTACACAGAATATTAGAAATGGGTTAGAACAATATGTAAGAGCTAGCCAATAAGAAACTGGACCTAGCCGGGCCAGGCAGTGTTTGAAAGAATACAGTTTCCATGTAATTATTTCTGGGTATAAGCTAGCCATGCGGGCGGCCGGGTGCCGGGGACGCAGCCCTGCCGCTCCTATTTCAACAGATGGCGCCCAACGTGGGGCTAAATCCACTTAAAAACCTGAGAAGCCTTAAAAATAAGGGAAACAGAGTTTAACACAGATTTTTGCTGTTTTGTTGGTGACATGCTGTAGAGAGATTCCTGATTCAGCAACAGCAGCAGAGAAAAAAAGCTGCGTCATTTTAAAGCGCGGCTTCCTGGTGCTATGCTGCCAGCGTGAACTCTGGCTTTAAAGCATTTCAAGGCTTTTATGGGACTGGATGTTTCTGTTCCCACTTGGGATCGGAGGAGATTGCTCTGAGACCTGCCGATGGCTCAGCGTTCCCTGCCTACACCTGGGCAGATGGCGGAATCAGGCTTAGGCAGGCGGAAGAGCATGGCGGATTCCTGCTGCCATACAGAGACGCGTTTTCAGACTGCGCAGTGCTCTGCGTGTCAGATTTGGCTGTAACTTGGATAAAAAGAGTTTCTGTGCTGCACACTCAGTCTCAAAATTAAATTGCTGATTGCGGCTCCAATGTAAACTGCTGTTTGCCTGTAACTGTGCTCAGCTCAAAAGCACCAAATGACTCTGAGGCAGGAGCGGCTGCTCCTTGCTGAACTGTGCTGATCTCAGGCAGGAACTACCGTAATTACCTTAAAACCGTGCAGTTAAGGTTTAGACTGGGCAGGACACAGGCAGTACCGTATTACCTATACATGGTGCAACTTAAGTTTTTAAGAAATGCTTAACATTTTAAGAAATGCTCCTGGAAAAAAAAAAAAAAATTACAGATTCACAGTAAAACAGATTCAGACACCGTTGGATGAATGTACGTAGGCTTGGGGAAAAAAAGAGAATATAAAGAATAAAGTTAATGTCTTAAAAAGAAAAAGGGTAAAGTCTTTAAAGAGACAGAGTACAGAAGTACAGATAGTTATAGATTAAGAGAAATAAAGAAAAATAAGCCACGTAAAAATGAAAAATTCACAGAGAGTCTGGATTATGTACATTGTGTTTTCTTTAAAATTTTTGACTGTGAAGGAGCTAAGTACAAAGAGACATTTTATTATATGGGCTGCTAAGCTGAACCTGCACATATGTTCTAAAGGTATCTTGACTTCAAAATTTGGATCTAAGGATATGATGCTTTGGAGAGGGTCTTCTTTTGTTTCCACAGAGGATGTGACCCTATGGATTGCATCTATCCCGGTATGGTATGATAGACCACGCCCTCCTGAAAGGTTGCTGTGAACACCCTCAAAAAATTACTTCACTCAACTGCCAACCGAGATGAACCTGACACACAGGTTACACCCTAAATGATCTGATTAACAGTGCCCCCATTCAGCAGGAAGCAGTTTGGAGAGAAAAAACTACGCCCATGTTCCCAAATATTGTTTATAAATGTTCTTTTACATTTAAAGGGGGATATGATATAGATATGAATAATTTGCATTGGTATGGATTTTAAGGTCAATTTTGTTATATGTATATGTATTTTTGAACTTGATTAAGGTATTGTGATTATGTAGTTCACTTAAAATGTAATGTATAATTAGGAAATATAGGTTGTTAATGGATAATCATTGCTAATAGTTAAGCTTGTAGTCATGTTAGTTAGATTTTCTAGATATATAGAGATATATTTCAATTAGATAGGCATTCTTCATATCTTTCAAAGACTGCAGAATATGGCATTTAAAATATTTTAATAACTTAGGACTTTTCATGACAAGGAGACACGTCTGCTCCTGGCAGCACCAGCTACTTCAAGAGGAAGATGGGCATCGAAGAGGATCCTTATGGAGTTGGATAGTCATTTGGGCAAGAAACTGCTCTTGCCTGGACTGTTGCATAAACTGGACACAGAGAACCCTCAGAGAGAGGACTGCTGAACTTGCCTAAAGGTGAGATGGTCTTTCGGGGTTCCTGATTCATGAAAGAGTCTACAAGACATTCTACAGAACACAGCAGAAAGTGACTGAACTGTCTTTAAAATTTCCTGCTTCATGGAAATGTATCTGGATACCATGGGCCTGTAGGCCGAAGATGGATGCCCCAACGGTACAGAGGAACTTTGGGTGACTGTCCAGGCAGCGAGATGTCTCTGTCATTTCTAGAGTTTTCTTATTTCTTGTTTACTTAGGTAATATTATATCCTTCTGGAGTCTTTGATGGAGTTGAAGAATGAATAGTTATAGTTTTCCTTAGTTATGATAAGAGATAAAATAGATATAAATATTGTAACTGTAATTCTTACTTGATAACTGTTTTGTTATATGTAATTTTACTATGCTAAAGTTAAAGCCTTTCTTTTTTGTTTAAACGGAAAAAGGGGAAATGATGTGGGAATGATTTCTTACTAATAAAGAAACTGCCTTGGCCCATTTTATTGGATAGAAAATTAGGTAGGCGGAGTATACAGAAGAGAATTCTGGGAGAAAGAAGGTTAGAGGAGGAGTCGCCATGATGCTCCCACTCCAGACAGACGCAGGTTAAGATCCTCTCTGGTAAGCCAGCTCGTGGGCTACACAGAATATTAGAAATGGGTTAGAACAATATGTAAGAGCTAGCCATAAGGAACTGGAACTATCCGGGCCAGGCAGTGTTTGAAAGAATACAGTTTCCGTGTAATTATTTCGGGCATAAGCTAGCCAAGCGGCCGGGGTGTTGGGGACGCAGCCCCGCCGCCGCTCCTATTTCAACAGGAGAGGCCCTGAGTGACTCGGGTTTCTGGCTTGCAATGGAGTGGATGGTAGTGCAAAAATAATCGACACAGGGGAAAGAGGAACAGGTTTTAGAGAAATACTTTGGATGCTTGGCGAAAAGACAAGTCTGACGTGTCTCTTCCAGAACTCTGGGTATTCTGACCCAATGGGATGCATTGTCCTCTCACTGTCAAGCTCAGCTGCTGCTCTCTACCTTCAGAGTTCCACAAGAAGAGTAATACTCTTGGTCTGTTCTCCCAGTCCTCGCTCACTTTCCCCTACAGAGCGAGAGGTGTTTATCTAGAACATACCCTTGGGGTGGGTAGAAAACAAGCATGGTCATAACTGCTTGTTTTGGTTCTTCGCCATCTGATGGAGGAAGGTAATTGGTTAATTATAATAAACCAACTGCTTGGCCTCATAGCTTAGAACATAGGTGGGTGGAATAAACAGAATAGGATGCTGGGCGGAAGAGGAAGTGAGGTCAGACTCTGCTCTGCTCCCGGACAGGATGGATGGAGGCTAGAATCTTCCCGGTAAGCGCACCTTGGAGTGCTTACACAGATGACTAGAAATGGGCTAGTCCAGGTGCGAGAGTTAGCCTAGAAGAGGCTAGATAGAAATGGGTCAAGCAGTTAAATGAATACAGTTTGTGTGTTGTTATTTCGGGCATGAGCTAGCCAAGCAGCCGGGGTGTTGGGGAGGCAGCCCCGCCGCTCCTATTTCAACAGCCATCCACAGCAAGTATAACAGAGTGATGAATGTGCCCTCCGCTCTTCCATGGTAAAACCGCCCATGGTCCAGGTATGCCCATGACTGGGACATGTACATAATTCAAGAGAAAAGTTACAGCAAGCACATTTATCCACATACCTGGAATGATATTATACAATCAGTTCTAAAAATGCTAAAAAAAAATTGACATTTGTTATTCTAATGCGGACATCTCAACTCTCCATTGGTTTGGAATCCAGGAGATTTGGGTGGTTCATCTGTCTCCTGCACTCAAACAGTGTGAAGTTTTTTTATTCCTCATACTGTATAATAATGTATTTAGGAAAACTTATCAAATTAATAAAATAAGACAGTGCTAAGATAATACTGCTTACAGGGGAATCTATAACTCCTTCTAACTACTTGTTTTTCAGTTAGGCATTTAACAAATTTGATTTAGAACTTAGTTTTCAACATGGCATAATTACTCCACATACTTTTGTACCTTTCTTCATATATAAAATCGGAATCATAATAGCTCTATCTATATTCCATGGCTGTTCCAAGGATTTAAGCATAGATTACACACATACCACTCTGTAACATGCTAAACAAAGTATGTATTTGTTACTGAGTCAGGCTGCTCCGTTTCTTAAGAATGCGAATGTGTGCTAAGGTGAATAGAAAAATCAAACCAGAATAAAATTGTTAAGATTGGCAATACAAACACAATTGGTTTTTGTGAATCACGACTTGTGAAATATACCAGTGGGTTTCCAGAGTAAGTAACGGGGGAAGGGTATGAAAAACTCCTTCATGAGAAACTTTAATCCTTTACATCTCCAATAGAGGTGACCATGAAAAGTTTTACCAAGAGCATTACTCATGTAATAAATAATGCTAAATAATAGGGAGTTTGACTGGGAGGAAGAGGGTGGACTGCCAATTTATTAGGTCTTCTTGATTTATTGGGAGTTCTAGTAATAAATTCTGCACTGCATTAAGCCAAAGTACTTCAATTTACCTTGCTCATCCTATCCTTCTTCTGTGGGGCACACACGGAGTCGCACAGTCTCTCTCTCTCTCTCTCTCTCTCACACACACACACACACACACACACACTCATCTGGCTAGCCCCTATTCAAACATAAAACCCAATTTGAGTACTCTCCCCACAGAATAGTTTTCTCTGCCATTTATTCAACTACGTTCAGTAAATTCAAAAAACACTGAACACCAATTATGTATAAAGTGGTAGTCTACCTGCTGCAGTTGAGGATTTAATTTTTTTCTAATTAAAGATGCTGTTCCAATTCTCAAGGAACATCCATTGAAACTGCAAAGAAAGGTGATAAAAATACCATGCTAGCTCAAACGGAAAACACTATGAGGGCAAATAGCATAGAGGAGACAGAGAGTGACATATAGCCAGCCACCTTATAGTCAAGAAAGAAGGCATTGCTTACAAGGTGGCATTTGAGCAATGGTCTGAAGGAAGAATAGCAGTGAGCCATGTAAGTTTCCGTGTAGGTGTGCCATAAAAATCCACAATCGATTATAAGAACTTCAAGTAGCAGTTGCTTGGCCATTCAGGAAGGACGGCATGTCGGAGGGAAGTGAGCTCACCAGAGTGGAAGCCAGCAGAACCATATGCTAAGGAGGGAAGGAAATTACTTGGGATGTTATATACCCTTATCTTGAAATGGAAGAATGGAAGATTGATCAGTTTGTAAGACTGGCTGCTGAGTTGTGAAAAGACAATAAGGGAGCCATGATTAATACTAACATACAGGACAGAAAGATTTTCCGAAGTTCTAGATAAAAGATGCTAATGGCTTATAGAAAACTAACACAGAAAAGAGAGGACGAAGGGCCTGGTTTAATAAGTATATTTAAATAGAGTGTTGAGGTTAGAGAACGGATGAATTAAAATATGCTCATTAACTAGTGCGCAATGAGTGTACTAGATAAAAGGACTATCAAAATGAAAGAAGAGAGGGCTGACTTTAAAACCATTTGGTTTCAAGCTACCTTCTCACCCACAGAGATTCCTGAGAATACAACAGCAATTTTGTTCACAAGGACTATATTAAACTGATATTTAGTATACTAAAACCAAATACTGAGCAACTTATAAAACCTAAGTGCATAGGCGAACATGCCATGGTCACCAGAGGCTACGCATACTGTACAGCTTCTGAAAAACTCCACTTTGCACTCATATGGAAAAAAGTGAAACATTCTTATACTAATCTGAAAACAGTTATGGCCTCCCAGACTTTGAGAGCATCACAGACTACCAAGTAGGCTGCAGCACAGTCTGAGAACAGACATCTAGACAATTTGCTGTTGGGTTGGCTATGGGATATAAAGAAAGAAGGGAATTCAAGGAGGGGAAAGCTGTTTAGATGGGGTGCCACTGACTACAATATGAAGCCTAGCACCGTTTCTCTTTAGAAGCATATTGGGCAACTTTACCAGTACTTAGAGGCACCTGTGGACCATGGAAATGGAGTTCAGGGAGGCGGTCAGGGCTAGAGATGGAAACTAGGAGCAAGCAGACAGCCTTTGTGTTGGAAAGGAGGGGAGAGGACCTGTGGGATGGCACAGACTGGGATGCGAAGGGGGCAGAGGATGACTCCTGGGTGTTTGGCCAATGGATTCCATTCATGAAATTTAAAAACCCCACTCTAAAGAACAGGCTCGCGCTCCATTCATGGTTTTCTTAGGACAGAACCCACATTTTAGTCACTGCCACATTCAAATCCTTTCTTCAGATGCCTAGCATATGGTCAGCATTCATATGCTTCGTGAATGAGCGAATCAAGAATAGTGTCCACTGGGACACTTTCACTGCTAAAGTCCAGGCTTTTCTAACAGTTACGATCGGGAGCTCAGATGATTAGCTACAGGTTCATCTATCAGATGTACTGCTAACCGAGCTGTCACATTAGTTCCTGTGACCTTAGGGGCAAAGGTAACTGGAAAGTTTAAAATTTACCCAGAGTCACCAACAAGTTACCAAATGGGAGAGACAAAATTAGATTTCAAATTGTAATCGGCCACATATGTCATTAAGGAAATAATGACAACTCTTCTTTCTAGACATTTTATTTTTTTCAAGGATAACTCTGTTATCTATGCAGACTGCCTGAAGATACTCCAGTGAAAAAGGCATGCAAAAAAAATGTCATCCACTGAGATCCTTATGCACATGGAAGGAAAAGTACTGAGTAGGATGAAAAATTCATTGTTAATGGCGAGTTGCAATCCATGACACTCTGACCACAAAATAAAAATAACTTAGGAAAGGAAATAAGCATTTTTAAAGGATATATATATATATATATATATATATATATATATATATATATATATAATGCATAGTCTGCATGTGTGCCTACAGGCCAGAAGAGAACACCAGATCTCACTATGGATGATTCTGAGCCACCATGTGGTTGTTGGGAATTGAACTCAGGACCTTTGGAAGAGCAAGCAGTGCTATTAACCACTGAATAATTTCTCCGGCCCCCGAGATAAGTATTTTTAATTTGTGCAAAGTATAAATAACAAATAACTCCCCATTTGGTTTTATTCACACTCCTAATTCCTGAAGTTTATATTTTGTGAGGCTTTCTTGTGCTGATACTGTTAAAAACTGTGATGTTGGAAGTCATGACCATGCCGTATTTAGTCAGCACCCTTTTGGGTAGACTCAAATGATCAAAAGAACTCAGAAAGGCTCTCAGATACGTACTCTAAAAGCTGAAGCTATTATATATGTATATTACTATATATTATTGTAACCAATATTTCACTAATAACAACTCTGAGTCTTACTGCAGCCCTGAGGAGTAGGCAAGGAAACCACTGCCCGCCCTTTGCTGACAACCAAACGGAAGGACAGAAAGGTTATGCAGAGGGCATGTGACAGAACACACCCTCTATCAGTTATAAGATAAAGGTACAAAGGGACAAAATTTCACATGGATGTGCCATGAATGTCCTCTGTATAACCTACCTTGGAAACCTGGGTTAAACATATAGACCATTTCCAACTTGCAATGGTTGGAACAAATAACTTCTCAGTTTTCTAACAACACGATTAGAAGCCATACCTAGAACTTTGAATTTTCATCTGTTTCCAGGTAGCTATGTATGGCATGACAGTCCCTCAAAAGACCAGGAAGTAGCAG